CCTCTGTGAGCCACTTGACTTCACTCTCTGCTTTGGTGACAGACCAAATTTGTTTTCCTGGTCAGCTGTCAGGCAATGTTTGGTCACAGAGAGATGGTTTGTGAATATCCTCACTAGTGGAGAAAAATAAGACAAGGTAGCTATGCATTACCTGGAAAGAAGTACAGGATCTGCATCAGGACAGATCTAGATAAAATGTCTGGCTGTGTCACAGTGACTGTGTCACTTAACCCTTATGACTCTGTTTATCAACTATAAAATTGGAATAATGTATTTACCTGTCAGGTGATTGTAATGATTTTAAAAAGTGCCTAGCACAACACTTGCTGCATAATAAGTGCTCATAATTATTGGTTTCCTTTTATTCTTTCTATCTATTTTACATTTAAATACAGTACTTGTATGGGGAGGTTTTAACACATATTTATTATTGGATGAATGAAAGAAAGAAGGGGTAGGCCCGTTCTGGCAAATTGAAAATGTGTTTTTAATAGAATTCGAGAAACACTGACTTCACGCTTCCATGCCAAACCCATGCTTGCTTCGGTAACTCACGTGTGTTGTTCTCTCTCTTGGAAACGCGTATCATTCCTTGTGGAGGAAACTGCTTTAGCACTCAGCTCAGATGTCACTTATTCACTTATGTCACACTTATTATATGAGAAACTTTTTCTTACCAGTCCTCATTAATTAACCATTTCCTTCTCTGTACCATTTCTGCACTTTGTACGTTGTATGGTAAGTATGTCCACCACACACATGGCTGTCATCTCCTGGAGGGCGGGGGCCAGCGGCTTACACATCTCAGGAACCCCAGCCCCGCACCTAGGGCCTGGCTGCTTGGCTGCCTGACACATACCAGGCACTCAAATGTTTAACGTTGATGAACTTACTGGCCATTACTGGAACTCGTTTTCTAATCGGTAACTTCCATCTATATATAATGTGAGATGGGGAGAGAGGATAAGAACTTTGACCAAAATGTCTGGCTCTGGCCCTTGTGAACTGTATAAAGTTAGTCAAGTTGTATCGTCTCTCTGCGTCCTTATCTGTAAAAGGGAACAATAATAATATCTGCCTCTAGAGTTTTGGAGGTAAATGAGTTAATACGTGGGGAATTTGTTGACCCAAGCCTGGCCCATAGAAAGCACTCAAAAAATGTTAGCTACTATCATGTATTAGAAGCAGTATTTTAAGAACTCTGGCTTTAGAGTCTGAAACCTTGAGTTGGAGACCTGGTTCTACCACTTACTGGCTATGTGCTCTTGGCTATGTTGAAAACTTGAGTCTCTTTTCCCATCTGCAAAATGGGAATAACACTGGCATGTATCTCATGGGGTTAAGGGAAGGAGATATGAGAAATCACCCATATGTCCTCCGTGAATATTGTTGCTGTTGTTATCTGGTGATGCTTTAAGCTTATCGAAGCGGTTATAAGTAAATGAGTTTCTTGTGTCCCTCACAGTCATTTCATGAGTGAGGGCGGATGGCTTTCTGACCCCTTTTCAGGCGATGTGACTGATGTAGGCACTGAGCGGCTTGCCTAAGCTCCTCACTCAGCGGCAAAGCCAGGAACAGGACCCACATTTCCTGTCCCCTAGTTCCATGTTCTTCCCATTGACCAGGCAAGTCATTCCCATGGTAAGTGGCTCCTGAGACTTGACCTAGAAGTACAGGGGGAAGAGGCAAGTTAAGGTATGACAGAGGCCCAGAGTGTGAACGTTTCCCAGGGGTGAACGGGGGTTGGCTGTGTCTTGGGGGGTAGTGTTTAAAACACACCAGCCTCATCTGCACATGGCCATGATGGAAGAGGACAAATTAGGAATGGTTCCTTCGTTCAGACTGTGGATAAGAGTGTCCCACAAAACTTTGTTACTAGGCCTACTAGGGCCTTCTTGAGCCCTGGAGGCAGCCAGCAGAGGAGCTGAAAAAAGAATGGGGCCCAGGGTGGGGGGGTAGGAGGGAAGCTTTGGGTAGTTACTCTGCAGGTTTGAAGGAAGAGAAATGGTCTCCCACGTTGTCAGCGATGAAGCATTCGAGGGTCTAACTTTTATTATAATGGACCCTGGAGGTTCAAAAGAAATACCTTGGAGACAGCTGACTTACTTCATCGGGTCACTGAGCTAAAAGAATCGTAGCTTCATCTTTGTTCCACCTGACAATTGTTCCGCCTTCCACATGCTGGTTGCCTAATGCATGTTGATACGGTTGAGTTAATTACAAGGTCACTGAGAGGTTGAGAGATGCTCCCCCACCCTCAAGAGTAAAGGCAGGAGCCAGAGATTAAAGAGTTAAGAAGCATGTTGGTTCCTGTTGCCCCTTCACCTCTGGACATCCCACTGCCGCATGCTGCCTTGTATTTCCTTCTCTGTTTCTTCCAGCTCACCTTCGTCCTCTGGAGGTGAAAGCATGGATGTCTGCCAATGTTGAGCTTTTGAACTGCTTGTTAAAATGTCAGGAATGGACTGTTGCATTAGGATGATTTTAATCAAAGCCCGGGAAGCTGCAGCTCCCATTTCCCAGAAGTCAACAGACATCCTCCAGTATAACCTGAGGGCTGGTACCAAGCAGCAGGCCTTGTGGGGTAAATTTAAGGTAGGGCAGGATTCTGAGAGCACAACAAACTGTCGAAAAGGTGGCAAGTCAGCTTTCACATAGCTTTGAGTGTCAGCTGGAAAAGGGACTGACTTCTAGGCGCCACCAACCAAGAAAATCACCAGCCCTGGGGTGGAAGGAGATGGCAAGTGTAAATACCTAGTTCTGTACCTGGCGCAGAGCAGGTCATTGGCTGAAGCATGGTGGTGGGGACTGTTGCCAAGGCCTGACCTCTAGGGCCTTCTCCTCCTGCTTGCATTTAGGAGTCTTCGATGTTTGCTCTGGTGCATCCTTTGTTCAGGGGGAAGGGGAGGATGGCGGCCCTCTGCTCTTAGCTCTGACGTCTTTTGCAAGTTCCTCCCACGCTGTAGATCTCAGACCGTACACCTATGTGGTGAGAGTATTGGATTAGTGTAGGGGCTTTGAGATGGAGGCCACAGGTAGGCTATAGGGGGGCCTGTGAACCCCTTAAAAGCATGACCAAAATTGTTCATGTATGTGCTCTGGGGAACACTCTTGACTCCAGTCTGTGAAGAACCATTGTCCATGGCAAGTCTCTGATGGCTCCAAAGGCTTAAATGTTCTGTGGCATCAGAGCTCAGTGTCCCGAAGTTTGGTAAGCATGCGCCCTGGGGTTCACAAAATGCCTGTAGGTGGTGAATGGGTACATGTTTGTTACATGAATGGTTATGTGATCATTTTAATATTAGAACAAAACATTAAAACTGACATTTCATGAATATTCTTTGTGTGGAGGAGGCTAAGTCTTGCTTTTAGAAAAGGTGACTTAAATAAATGTGAAATGAGTAACAGTACAGAGGTGGGTCAATGCTTAAGTCTGAGGAACAATGATCTGTCCTGTCAACTGGTACAGACAGAAGGGCTGAGTGTTGGGGAAGCAGAGAAAAGGCTGTGAGGAAGTTGATGGTCAACTCAGGACAGGAACTGGCTGGTCCTTCTATCTATCTTGATACCACAGTTATGTGTGAGTTGGACAAGTTTCTGATGCTCTCTTGGTCTCCTCTGAGAACATTGTCCCCCTCAGGCCAGGCATCCTGCCCCAAGAGTTTCCACTGGGGCTTTCATCGCAGGAAAGATAAATACGGAGAAGAAAGGCACGCTTTCATCCACATGCTTCCTCAATTTTGAGATGTACTTGTTCATATTTTAATGCTTCTGAAATTGAGCCGCATCTTACGAAATTGTTCATTTAAGTAGTTATTTCCTTGCCAAAAAGCTGTTATTAAATGGATAGTAGCTTAGAATTGAAAGACGGTCTTTCACCATTTTTCCCTCTTCCAAAACAAATTACACTTGAACGTTGGGACTTCTAATAAATATACAAAGCGAATGAAAATTTCTCTTTAAAAGGAAAATTCTCATGTCAAGCCATTTCACTAAATGCAAGTCTGGGGAAATGAGTCACGGTGACAGGAATGGAGACACTGAGCCCAGGCCCGGCTTTGAGTACCTCCCACCTCCTCCCTGAGCCTCCGTTTCAAATTTCTCTGTCTTTTGAATTCATTTAGTCTCCTTCCCAGAGGTGCGTCACAGGAGACCTTCTGGAAGTTATATGTCTGAATCCTCAACGGGTGGGAAGGAGGAACCAGCCTCCCCAGTTTCAAGCAGACTCTACTCTGATGTCAAAGCTTCTTGATCGACTCTCCCATATTCCATTTTTGTAGGAGGAGAACCCTCTGGTCTGTTTTTCTAGATGGTGAGCTTAGGGTGGATTAGAAGCACTTGACTAGCCTTTGCAGAGCAGCATTTTGTATTGGCCATTTTTGTTCTAGCTACAGTGGAGATTGATGGATTGTTACTTTTGGTTACAAAACCCAGGAAGAGGGGAGGGGGCTGCTTTGGAGACACTTCCTCGGGGAGCCAGGGGTGCTGCCGTGGCCTCCAACTTACTGTTGCATTGAGAATGCCAGATAATGAACAACCAGGACTCGGCCTTTAGAAGGAAGTCAATGGAATAAATAAGCTGGAAAAGGTTGAAGGGAAAAAGCCAAGGGACATGTAAGTAGAGGACTATATGGAGCCATTTAAAACAAAAAAAAGCAAGAGTAACGAAGCAGCAGATGGAATCTGGCCCCACACGGCCTTGCCAAGTTAACTCAGAAGCGAAGTGTTCTCTTTATGTCCCCTGAAGCATTCACGGTGTTTCCTAGCCAAATTCTCGGGCTGTTTCTATGGCGCTTACAAGAAAAGAATATAGCAGTGTTGGTGCGGCCCTTTTCCCTTCCCATTCTGCATCCTCTTTGCAGCCTTGTGAAATAAATCTCTGGTTCAAATGAAATTGTGAAAAAGAAAATGGAAAATGGAAAAAAAAAAAAAGTGCCGTAGGGGCAGGAGATGCTGACTGGTTCCGATTTTTCACAAAACAAGGAGAATTTCTCTAAGAGTAGAGTAAACGGTGTTTATTTTTCGTTGAATTTTTTTTCAATCATCAAATGGAGTTGCTTAATTAAAAAAAAAAGTATCTCTTTCTTTTCTCTTTAAATACTACAGACAACCTCATTTTATCTCAGCAGACACCTAGAAACAAAACACTGGACCCACCAGAGAAAACGGGGCAATAAAAGCATCAGAAATTCAAGTCAGCTATGGAAGAATTACTGTTAGCTGGCAGCTCTCAATTCTAAACAGAAGTGTCCCAGAACCTGTTGGGTTTGACAAAATTTCTTAGAACTGGGGATTTGGGAAGGTTGGACTCCATGGACTTCTATTCCATTTGTTTCCTGCAGAGGGAAATTAGAGTCGATGCATCAAATGAACACCCAAAGAAACATTTAAAAACGTGTTTGACTAGTACTCAGTATGTGAGATTATTAAGTAATAACTTGTCCTCCTAGTTAACCTTGTCCTGGAATATATATAGGTTATTTGTAGCCGCCACTGCTATAATATTTTCTGAAGGATGCCAAGCTGTATGCAAGATCTTTTTGCTAAAGTCCAGACTGTCGACACTGATCTCGTCTTTTCTCCGCTTGCCCCCCACGCACACTTTGCGCGGTTTTAGGATAGCTCGGGGTTTGCTGTTTTCCCTCGAGGCCTCAAGGGTGACATCGCGCTTGGTGTTTCGGTCAAACATCCTGAAGAAGTTGTTGTAGGAGCCCGTCATGATGACACTGCAAGGCAGAGAGGAAAAAGGGAGTGACTGAGCGCTACGGACAAAGGCTTTCTAGAGCAAACAGCACCACACGAGAAACAAACAAGAGACCCGAAACTGCAACAGGCTTTGTAGTGTGACTGTTGAGTTTCTTTGGAATCACTAAGAGCAACAAACTCTTTGGCTGGGTGAAGGATCGTGATAACCCTCTATTTACCAATAGATTCCTTTTGGTTCTTGGGCTCCATAAATGAGTCCAGTGGTTTTAATGATCCCAGCCCACCTCCCTCACATCAGGATTCTGAGGCTGGAGTGAAGTTATGAGAGTAGGAACACTGAGAACAACCGTCCTTGTATTGTGTACATTTAAAGCACAGTTACAGTAGGAGGGATTCTGTGTTGCCCGACCGCTAAGGCTTTCTTGCATCAGCACTGCAGGAGGGATGCTGGCAGTACAGCACACATACCAGCATGTTTCCTCCCCCTGCTAAGAACTAGATCTAAATTCAGCCTTTTCCAGAAAATTAGATGCCATCATGGTCTCACTCGGGAAGGGAGTAAACAAAAGTTCAATTCTGAAAGGATGTAGGATAAGGAAGTAAGCCTTTGAGGGGACGGACAGATGGTTGCTACCTTTCTACAAGAGTTATCCATTCTCAGGCATATCTACAATTGATTAAGAGAGCAGTGAATGCCAGAGCCTTCCGGAAGCAATGGACTGACTCTTTAATGGTGACAGTTTGGACAAGATGACAGGCTGAGGGAAAGATACCAAGTAACGTCCCACTGTGGCTGCCCCCTGGGGAGGTGGGCATGGCCTTGTTTGTGGGTGAGGCTCTGACTGGATGGTTAGGGTGGGAGAACGCAGAGCGACCTATTATTACCTCATCAGGCAGGGTGCTGAGTGCTTTACCCCAGACTTCATTTACTCTTCCTTCATCCCATGTAAGGGATTTACACAGGAGGAAAAGTGAGTGACTTGTACAGTGTCAGACATCTAATAAGTAGCCAAGTCAGTTCTCCAGCCCACATCTGCCTGACTCTGGGGCACAAGCATTCAGCCACTTGGCCTCACTGCTTCCCATGCACTGACCTTTGCTTCCCTCACCATGACCTGACTTGTTTTTGTTTTTTTTTTTTTTACAGTACGCGGGCCTCTCACTGTTGTGGCCTCTCCCGTTGCAGAACACAGGCTCCGGACGCGCAGGCTCGGCGGCCATGGCTCACGGGCCCAGCCGCTCCGCGGCATGTGGGATCTTCCCGGACCGGGGCACGAACCCGTGTCCCCTGCATCGGCAGGCGGACTCTCAACCACTGCGCCACCAGGGAAGCCCGACCCGACTTGTTTTTAAACAGTAAGAGAAAGTCTTTTCTGGGAAAATAATCTCAACCTTATCTGGACCAAGAATAACGTTTTCTCAGTTATGTAAAGAAATTGTAATGTGGTGGAAAGCATGTTGATTTTAGGATTCAGACTCTTCCTGTTGTCTCTACTGCTTACTAGGTCATGAGCTTGGGCAGATTACTTTATCTGGCTGAGCCTCCGTTTCCTCAGCTGGAAAATGGGGATGGTGAAAACAATCTTGATAGATTGTGGTCGGGGTTAAAAAACATGACGTGTGTGAAAGTACCTAGTAAGTGCAGTTTTTGAATCTTGGTTAAGATAGGAGGGAAACTGGAACAATAACAACCACAAATATTAAAAAAAAAAAAAACCCTATTCTTAATAAACAATGAATAAATGACAGTTGTAAATGAAAATAAAATAATAGGGCTGGGCTAGCTTCTTTTCCCCTCGAGGGCCTTTGTTAATATGTCACAGTTGCTCTGCCCTCTGCCCTCTACCAACTGGGCACGTCCTCTGCCACGTGGTGATTCCTTCCAGGCCTAAGTGGAAGGCTGATTTTGGATCACTGACAAAAAAAAGCCCAACAAGGGTCACAGCCTGCGCTCACTAAGAGCTCGACTCTCCGAGCGCTTTGCCGTGATAGAATTTCCCCGCTTCCGAGCACTACTGTTGGTACCGCCTTCATCGAGGAACAGCCCCTGGTAGCCTGTGCTCGCTTCTCCTGGAAATCAGAGGGTCATCTGTAATATTTGTCAAACCAGAAAGAAACTATGGGGAGGTAATAGGAAGTACTGTTGAAATCAAAGGCCTTAAAACAGTCATAAATCACTTTCAGGACATGTGATAAACGAGGCCAAGTAGAATTCGGTTAATGAACCACCAGGGCCTTTGGCCAGGTCTATCCTGGCAGCTTCGAGGAATCATTTTCCATCTAGAAAGCACAGTCTGCCGTCATCCGAACTATTCATGCTGGAAATGTGCTGGTGGAGCTTCGTCTTAGCCATGTCGACCCAGCTCTGGGAGTGTCTTGTGTGTACGAGGTAGGATTTTCTTGAGGTTAAGTGGTCACCTGAGCCAGTCCTGAAAGAGGAGTCAAGGGTGTCACTCAGCCCTCCCTCCTTTCCAGGCCTGCCTCAAGGGTCATCCAGTGGTCCACACGGTGCGTCTCTGCCAGGCCTCGATTTTGAGCTCCCTTTGGCTGCATCCCGCTTAGGATACACAGCCCAGGGCCTTCGCGAGGAGAGGGACCACCTTTGGAAAGTTCCCAGCCACACAGGCCTTTCTTACCTGTCTGACCCATTCCACACACATTCAAATTTATCAAAAATGCAGTCATTTTCGTAGAGGGAGCACAGCTTGCTGCGGAGGTAGTCGTGAACCTGGTTGGGGCAGGGAGGACACATTAAGAGGGTGTTATTATTTTTAAAAATGATTTCTCTGTGTGAAGCTCCCCTTTGGAGGTGAGCTGTTAATTTTCAGTGTAAATGTGGCTTGAATCGGATGGGCTCAGATCTGAACCCAGGTGTGGCCCTCTTCGGCCTTGGCACATTAAGATGAGTTGGTGAGCTGCTTACACGGCCAGTGTGGATTAAACAAACTTGCTTACATAGATGGTGGCATAGAGCAGGGCCCAGGGACAGCCCCATTTTCTAAGCTGATTTAGAGGATACCGTTCTTTCAGCCTTTTATTCGACAAATATTTATTGAATGCCTGCTATGTGGTTGGGAGAGACCCGTGAACAGAATACCCCTGGGGTGCTTTCCTCCCGGTGTTGGGGAAGAGACTGTATAACCAAGTAAGTATATAAGATAGTTTAGATGGTGATCAAAATATAGAGAAAAAAACATGGCAAAAGGGAGTGGGAGTATTATTTTATACAGGTGAGTAGTCAAGGGTTCACCTGAGATGGTGGCAGAAGGTGCAGAGTGTGGAGGTCTCAGCGTGTGCTCGCCAGTTCCCGTAGGCCCCTTACTCTGAGGGATGTGAACAGGCTTCACAGAAAGGATGCTGAGCCTGCTGTGTCGTGAAAGAGTGTAAGCCTGCAGGGCCAAAGGCAGGGAGGCTAGGTGTAACCTGGGTGATAGATGACGGCTTGGACCCGAGCGGGCGGTGGTGGGAGGTGGTCGGATTCTCGACATGTTTGGAAGGAGAGCTGATGGGAGTTGGGGATGGATCCACTGTGAAGTGTGGAGAGGAAAAACAGGAGTCAAAGAGGGCTCCTGCATCTTTCTCTTGAGCAAGCCATGTTCACTTTTGGGATCTATAATTTGGAGATGTCTATGCCAAGGGAGCTCGTCCAGTAGACTCTGATGTGATGTGCATGGCGCAGCCCTGGAGTATACAGCAGTTTTCTCCTGTGTCTATTTTTCAGTGAAATAAGAAGCAAGGTTATCAGCTGAGAGTGAGGAAGGGGAGGAGGTAGTTGGGAAACAGTGCAGGGTTTCTGGAAGGCACCGAGGGCCGCTTGAAGTTGTTGGATGTGAATTTTAAGTGCATCTGGTCAGCATGGTTGGGTGTTTTTCTCCAGCTGCGTTCAGCAACTCAGGTGAAGATGGCAAATAGGCTGAGAATTAGGGCTTGGAGGGTAGTAATCTGGGTGCAGTTTTGAATTCTTCCTGAGCTCTGTCATAGGGACTGGTAATTATAACAGGCATGCATAATACGCCAGCCTGTTATTATTAGCCAGGCGCTTTATCCATAGAATCTTATTTCATCTCTAACATCATCTTAGGACGTAGGTGTTGTCATTCTCTTCGCTTTAACAGAGGATGAAGTACCGGGTATGACACAATTTGTCCGAGATCACACGGGAAAGGAAATGACAGAATGGGAAGTGAACCCGGGATCTGGGTTCTGGAGCACACACGCACTCTTGCCTTCTCTAGCAATCTACCTCCCACTGGCTCTGCCCCATTGGCCTTAACGTGGGGTCTCAGTCCTAGACAGGAGCTGGGAACTGAGGTGAGGCCAAGAGGGAGCTAAAAGTGGGTGAAGGCAGAGGGACGTTATGAAAAGCACTGTTTGACTTTGTTTAGATGGACAGGGATGGTTCACTCTCCCTTTTCCTGCAGCCTAGGCCCCTCTCCTCCCTTGACCCCAGAGTTCTGTTGGATGCTGAGCTCAGAGGCTCAGCTGTGTGCTTAGCACTGGGCAGAGGAATGAGGTCAGAGTCATTCCTTGTTCCATTAGATGTTCTGGATATTTGAAAAGCTCTCTGAGTTATTTGGACAGTGTAAGGATTTCTAAGTCTGCAAATTAATTTCTTCCACCTTTACTCTCTTGTTCCCAAACAGTTCTGGGCCTTGTCAGGGTATCTGCTTCAGTGCTATCGTGACAAGAGAATCCATCTGCAGCTGGGCTTTTGGCTTTGTTAGGTAATGGGATGTAAGGGCGAGGCTTGTGTCTTGAGCTTGGGAACTCTGCTATAAATTAAGTCATCGTCCTTCCCTTCCTCCACCTTTTGTGCATATTGGAGGTGGCTCAGATCTGATCTGGAAGGCAATTTTGTTTGTAGGGCCATTTCTGCTTGTTGAAGATCTCTAGTTATCATTAAGAATCCTTGAGCAAAGCAGAAGAGAGTCCTGGGACAAAGAGAGCTGATTCCAGGTCTTGACAAACTTTTTCTATAAAGGCCCAGAGAGTAAATAATTATACTTTGTGGGCCATTATAGCAACCACCCAACTCTACCCTTGCTATGCAAAAGCAGCTATAATATATAAACAAATGAGTGGGAGTTGTGTTCCAATAAAACTTTATTTACAAAGATAGGTGGCAGACAGGATTCGCCTCTGAGTCATGGTTTGCCTAACCCTGGTCTTGACTATAATTCCCCCTCTCCCAAATCAGCACAGACTATTTCCTTGGAAGAAAGTGATGGTGGAGGTAAGGGCATAAATTGGGGGTCGAACTTTTCTTCTGATGGTTGGAGGACCCTGACCTCGAGAATCTGTCTCTTTTCTTTTCTAGAAAGCAAGCCTGATTCTTGCCTCTTCTTGATTTTATCATTGACTTGCTTCCAAGTTCTGTGTAATAGAGGAAGAAGAGGAAGAGGAGTGGGGCTTCTGAAGGGGAAGGATGTCAAGATGGAATTAGTGCAGTGGGCAATGGGAGCCAAATTTATTATCCTCGTACTCCAGATCTCCTACTTTTTGGAGGAAAAAGACAGGCAAAATCGATCCTATTTTCAATCTTATCTCCCCCTACTTCTTCCTCTTATCTGTTATGGAGCACTTTTTTTTTTCATTATTTTCCTGAAACTTTTTATTTATTTGATGCACCATCTTTTTTTTGTAAGTTTAGCTGATTTAAAATGTTTGTTGTGTTAACTTCAGGTGTATAGCACAGTGATTCCATTATACACACATATATATATAATTGTTTTTTCAGATTCTTTTCACATATAGGTTATTACATGATACTGAGTAGAGTTCCCTGTGCTATATATACGGTAGGTCCGTGCTGGTTATCTATCTTATATATAGTACTGTGTGTATATGTCAATCCCAAACTCCCAATCCATCCCTCCCCCACTCCCTCTCCCCCTTCGCAACCACAGGTCTGTTCTCTGGAGTCTGTTTCTGTTTTGTAGATAAGTTCATTTGTGTCATATTTTAGATTCCCCATATAAGCGATATCATATGATATTTGTCTTTTTCTTTCTAACTTACTTAGTATGATAATCCCTAGGTCCATCCATGTTGCTGCAAATGGCATTATTTCATTCTTTTTTAGGCTTATTGATATTCCATTATATATATGTATCACATCTTCTTTATCCATTCATCATCGACAGATGATGGACATTTAGGTCACTTCCATGTCTTGGCTATTGTAAATAGTGCTGCAGTGAACATTGGGGTGCATGTATCCTTTCATATTACGGTTTTCTCTGGATATATTCCCGAGAGTGGGATTGACAGATCATATGGTAACTCTATTTTTAGTTTTTTAAGGAACCTTCAGACTGTTCTCCATAGTGACTGTACCTGTTTACATTCCTACCAACAGGATGGAGCAGTTCTGGGAAGTTCCTGACTACCTCCAACTGAGGGCCTCTACAGGAAAAGATGATCTATTACACTATGAAGGTATGTTGCGTATATATTCTGTTGTAAAAAAAGAAAAATCTTAGGCAGAGAAGATAGACTTTTTTCCATCAGAGGAGAGAAAAAGGTAAGATACCGACATGAGAAACAAACATCTAGAGAGCAGAGTAAGGGAAAACTTAAGACTCGTGGTCCTTTGATGCTTCTCTCTTCATGTTGCAAAAAGTGTTTCTATGCTATGTTCCTATGAGCTTGGGGATGGCCTCCTTGACACTAAGCCGAGTCTCCCAACACAGTGGTTCTCAAATCATGTACTTGTGGGAGCCTGCTATTGTGTAGTTGATAGACCACTGTGAGGCCTAGCACGATTAAACTCTGTTGGTTTGTTCTTCTGTTTCAGGGGTTGACAAACTTTTCCTGGAAAGGATCACACAGTAAATATTTTAGGCTTTGGGAGCCATATGGTTTCTGTCACGACGACCCAACTCTGCCGTTGTGGCATGAAAACAGCCATAGATAATAGGTAAATGATCAGGTGTGGCTGTATTTGGCTCCACAGGTCAGTCTGTCAACCCCTGTTCTATAGGAAAATGTGAACAGAGCTCATCATACTTAAGTCTACAGCTTCTTATTCCCAGAAACATGCTTGAGATCAGTTGATGGATGTATGAAGATACAAAAGAGTATCACCTGTCTCCCTGCCCAGGGAAGGCAGTAGTAATTGATGATGGAATTCCTTCCCACTGGACCAGTCCTTACAATTTTTTTCAACAGTGTTCCAGATACTTACTCAGTTTGCTTACCATCTTTGATATACTATATTACCATCTGATACGGTATATAAACTTAACTAAATTGCTTCGGAATATGTCATCTAAAATAATTTTTGTAGTACTTAATTTCAATAATGGGCTATGAGAGCTCTTCCTCAGGGTTCTACAAAGAAGATGTCTACATCTACTAGTAGGTAAACACGATGTGAGAAGCATGATCTTAAAATGCTGATGACTTCATGTCACAGCTAGCTAGCTTTGTTCTAAAAGTCTTTCCCTAAAATAAAAGTAGTAATTGATCTCCCCACTGTGTAGCCTAATCTACATTTCTCTAAGCACGGCTCTGCAGCAGGCCACACCCCTGTCAGGTTCTAGTTCCCACTGCCATCACTTTCGTACTAAGGGACGTGACACCAGATGGCTTGACTGCACAGCTGAAGGGGGCACTCCTGTCTGCTCTAGCCCTGTGCTGAAGATGAGGGCTGTGAGCGGGAGGCTGAGGGCAGCATGTGGGGGACAATGAGAACGCAAACATACAGGGGTAACCAAACTACCTCGACCGCATCTGTGGTCTTCAATTCTGGCCCCCAAACCTTTTTACAGCTTCACGGTCAGCCATCAAAGTCCTCGGTTTCCTCAACTTCCTCTCTCAACGTTTCCTGCTTCTCCTGAGGCCACTCACGTGACGGCTGGACTTCTGCCCTCGTGTGCCAAGGTGAGTGGGCTCTGTGTTGCTCAGGACAATCATCATTCCTGTCTCGGGTCCTCAGCTCCTTCTAAGTCATGCCATCCTGCCATCCAACATGACTTCCTGCCACCCATCCTTCTTACAGTCATCAACAGTTCTCAGCCCCTCTACTCCATTCCTGGAAGCCACTCTAGCGCCTCAGTCTCTCTTCCATCGCCATCCCTGCCATCATTCTTAGTGATTCGAATACTCTGGACTCTCGGTTACTTGGCCTCATCATTTTCAGTGCGTTTTGTCCTTTGCTTTCTGGGTCATATTATGAGCCTTGTCAGTACTATAACTGTATGTGTTTAGTAAGTATCACTCTTGCTACTTCCTATCATTTTAGTTCATGCCCTTTAGTATCTTGATTCTATCAATTCTTCATTCCCCTTATAACCAACCTTAGATTCAGCCATCCATCATTCCAATCAATCAATCACTCCCTTAATAGATACCTTCAACGAACTTGCTTTTCTCCCTCCTTCCATTGTACTCCCTTGGCAAAACCCCCATCACTGGTTAAATCTAACTTTCTGCTCTTCCTTACCTGTACCAAGCAGGTGAATGTGGCTGGAAAAAACACACAATCACACAGATTAGTCTCACTTTAAATCAATAATATAAACCTCAAGTGGATCCCTGAGCAACCCTACCATACTGCCCTAGTCAATTCACTCTCTTCCTTCTCACTCAGCTAATGACCTTGCTTCTAATTTTACTGGAAAATTTTACTGGAAAATAGAAGCAATAAGAAGAAACCATCTGTATGTTCCCATCACAAAAGTGACAAACCTACTGCATCTGTAGCTATTTACTCTTTCCTTTGACGGATGAGTTGCCCACCTCATCTAAGTCCAATTCTGCAGTGGAATCTATTCCCTTGAGAAGTTGACTCCTTCAATTAATTATCTCCCTCTCTACGGGCTTACTCCTATCAGCATAAAACAAGCTGTGATGACTTCCTCAATCCTGCATTCCATTCCAGCTACTACCCCATTTCTCTATTCCTCTTCAGAACAAAATCTCTTTCAAAATTTCACTACAGGGCTTCCCTGGTGGTGCAGTGGTTAAGAATCTGCCTGTCAATGCAGGGGACACAGGTTCGAGCCCTGGTCCGGGAAGACCCCACATACCACAGAGCAACTAAGCCCGTGCGCCACAACTACTGAGCCTGCACTCTAAAGCCTGCATGCTGCAACTACTGAGCCCGCGTGCCACAACTACTAAAGCCCGCGTGCCTAGAGCCCGTGCTCCGCAACAAGAGAAGCAACTGCAACTAGAGAAAGCAACGAAGACCCAAAGCAGCCAAAGATAAATTAATTCAAAAAAATTTCACTACGTTTCCCATCCTCTAGTTACAGTCTCTCTTGAACCCACTCCAATCAGACATTCATTCCTACCACTTCGCCTACAACTCTTTCATTAAGGTGCCTGATCATCTCCATGTTACTAAATCCAATTGGCCATTTCTCAGTCCTTCCTTGATTCAGCAACAGCATACAGCAGTTGGTGACGTCTTCCTCCTCGATTCACTTGGCTTCCAGGACTCCTCTCAGTTTCCGTCCTACCTCACTGGCACTTTCTCCAGTCTCTCTTGCCAAATCCATTTCCTCTTCCCAGCCTGTAAACACTGGGACCTCAGGGCATGGTTCTTGACCTTTCCTCTAGGCTAGATCTATCCAGACTTACACTGAGCTGTCTACCTGCTATTTCTGGATGTTTAACTGGCTCAACATGTCTTTTATCCTTCTGCTTTGTAAGCCTTTGCAGGCAGGGGCTGATTTGGAACCCTTGAAGAAGTGCCCAATCTACGTATTAGTGGGTGGTGGTCTGTACCTGGTAAGTCTCGATGGGGCGGTTTTCCATGTTGAGATCCCACACTTTGACCGTCAGATAGTCTCTGGTCATGATATACCTCCCACTGTGGCTGAACTTCACATCCGAAATCGAAGAGATGATTTCAGAGAAAAACGACCTGTTGCTTGGATCTTCCGGCTCTTCAAAAACTGCAGAACAAAAGCAAAACAAAAGAAATTTAGTACATTCTTATCAGCTGATGCTAACGTGTTTGGGCCAGCTCGAAAGCCAGCAGTCTAACCTGGAGTAGGGCTGGAATCTGTAGAATATAAGTTGCTAACAGAACTGTCAGCTCCCTGGCAGCAGAACAAGCTGTCACTGGTTTCCATATTTTGTTTCTCATGGAAGGACTCCCATGGGACTTGTCACATCCACAGCTCTGGCACTGACGGTTCACAAGCTCCAGGTCTATGTATCTGACTCTTTCACTTTTCCCCATGGTTCCTGGGTGTCACTGCATATACTATAACCTGTAGTCATCTTACACACTTAAAAATTTTGTTTATGCCATGTTTTGAGATATAATTCACATACCATAAAATTTACTCATCTAAATTGTATAGTTTGGTGGGGTTTTTTTTTTTTTTTAGTATAATCATGCAACCATAAACAAAGTCTAAATTTAGGACATTTTCATTACCTCATCCCCTGTAAAAAACCCAAAACAACTCCATTCCCATTAGCAGTTACTCCCCATTACCTACTCCTGCAGCCCTAGGCAACCACTAATCTATTTTCTTGTTTTATGAAATTGCCTATTCTAGCAATGTCACACAAATGGAATCATTCTCCCTCCCTCTCTCTCTCTCTCTATATATATATATATATTCTTTTTTGGTGATTGGCTTCCTTCCCTTAGTGTAACGTTCTCAAGGTTCATCCATGTTGTGGCATGATTCATTCCTTTTTATGGCTGAATAATACTCCATTGTATGGTATATTACATTTTGTTTATCCATTCATCAGTTGATGGGCACTTGGGTTGTTTCTACTTTTTGGCTATTATGAATAATGCTGCTATGGATAAACACAAGATTTGTGTGGACCTATGTATACGTATCTCTTGGATCATGGTGCTTAATAGTGGGACTTTGCTGCCAGACTGCCTTGGGCTTAAGGTCAGACTACCCTTGACTAGTTGTGTGGCCTTGGGCAAGTTACTTAACTTTTCTGTGCCTCAGTTGCATAGGTAAACTCTGGCTACAACGTCTTTTGTATATATTTTCCATTTGCGCTGGTATCTAGCTGCTTATTATTTCATTCAACAGATTCAGCTGATTTCCACTCACAGGAGTAAAAAGCACTTACAGGAAAAAAAGACACTGAAGATTATTGTAAGCTGCCTTAATTCATCTTTCTAACCTTGTTTTTGAACTCCTCTCGTTCAAACTGGATGCGCAAAATACATCTTGATGTTTCCCATCTTTATGCCCTGCCTGATCGTTCCTCCGTCATTGTGTCATATTTTGCTTCATTCACATGTCTCATCTTTTACCTGTTATTTTAGCCCCAAATGATCACACTTGGTCTGGCCTGTTCACTTAGCATTTGCTCAGGTATTCTCCCAATGAAAGCATCATTTCTCACATTAGCATTTAATAATCCGTGGCTTATCTCAACTAGGAATGTGAGCTTCTTGAAGGCAGGGTGTCTTTTCTCATCTTTGTACTGAGACTCTTGCACATAAATATTGAATAAATAGTTGCTTGATCAGAACCAAAGCCAGATAAATTAATGAAATCTTTGCCTTCTGGGTGCTTAGCATGTATGATGTTGAGCTATACATATTTGCCTACATTTAATTATTTTTGGCCTACAATAATGGCAATTGAGTATGGTTCCACTTAATAAGCGTTTCTATCACAATTTTAGGCTGAACCAAACATCAGTCTTCAGGTTACTGAGTAACTCATCCCCCAAGGCTTCCTCTTTCCTGCCCGTTCAACACACTCACAGAGTCATTATGAAATTCTATGTAGAAAATCTATAGGCGGAGACAAGATGGTGGAGAAGAAGGATGTGAGCTCATCCCTTCTTAAAAAAACAAAAAGATCACAACTAACTGCAGAACAACCATCAACCAAAAAATGAGGGAACCTATCAAAAAAGATATCCTTCACCTGAAGACAAAGAAGAAGCCACAACAAGACAGTAGGAGGAGCACAGCCACAGTAAGATCAAGCTCCATACCTGCTGGGTGGGGGACCCACAAACTGGAAAATAATTTTACTACAAAATTCTGCCACAGGAGTGAAAGTTCTGAGCCCCACATCAACCTCCCCAGCCTGGGGGTCTGGCAACAGAAGGAGGAGCCCCAAAGAATCTGGCTTTGAGGGTCAGCAGGGTTTGACCACAGGAATTCCACAGGGCCGGGGGAAACAGAAACTCCCCTCTTGGAGGGCACAGAAACCCCACTCTTGTGTGCACCAGGACCCGGGGGAAAAAGCAGTGGCTTCATAAAAGCCTAAGCCAGACTTACCTGCTAGTATTGGAGGGTCTCCTGCAGAGGTGGGGGGCAGCTGTGGCTCACTGCAGGGACAAAGACACTGGCGGTGGTAGTTCTGGGGAGTACTTATTGGTGTGAGCCCTCCCAGAGGCCACCATTTTCTCACCAAGACCTGGCACCACCCAACAGCCTGTAGGCTCCAGTGCTGGGATGCCTCATGCCAAACAACCAACATGGCAGGAATACAGCCACGCCCATCAGCATACAGGCAGCTTAAAGTCTTCCTGAGCACACAGCTGCTTGCTAAACACACCCCCTGACATGTCTCTGTCTACCAGCGGGACCTGCACCAGGACACCTGCACAAGCCTCTTAGACAGCCTCATCCACCAGGGGGCAGACAGCAGAAGCAATAAGAACCACAGCCCTGCAGCCTGCGGAAAAGAAACTGCAATCACAGAAAGTTAGACAAAATGAGACAGCAGAGGATTATGTTCCAGATGAAGGACCAAGATAAAAACCTACAAGAACAACTAAAAGTGGAGATGGACAACCTACCTGGAAAAGAGTAATGATACTGAAGATGATCCAAGATCTCAGAAAAAGAATGGAGGCACATATTGAAAAGATACAAGAAATGTTTAACAAAGGCCTAGGATAACTAAAGAACAAGCAAACAGAGATGAACAATACAATAACTAAAATAAAAAATACAATAGAAGAAATAAACAGCAGAATAAGTGAGGCAGAAGAACGGATAAGTGAGCTGGAAGACAGAATGGTGGAAATCACTGGCACAGAACAGAATAAAGAAAAAAGAATGAAAAGAAATAGAGACAGTCTGAGAGACCTCTGGGACATTAAACACCCCAACATTCACATTATAGGGGTCCCAGAAGGAGAAGAGAGAGAGAAACGACCTGCAAAAGTATTTGAAGAGATAATAGCTGAAAACTTCCCTAACATGGGGAAGGAAACAATCACGCAAGTCCAGGAAGTGCAGAGAATCCCAGGCAGGATAAACCCAAGGAAGAACAAGCCGCGACACATGGTAATCAAACTGACAAAAATTAAAGGCAAAGAAAAAGTATTGAAAGCAACAAATAACATACAAGGGAACTCCCATAAGGTTATCAGCTGACTTCTCAGCAGAAACTCTTCAGGCCACAAGGGAGTGGCACGATATATTTAAAGTGATGAAAGGGAAGAACCTACAACCAAGATTACTCTACCCGGCAAGGCTCTCATTCAGATTCGACAGAGAAATCAAAAGCTTTACAGACAAGCAAACGCTAAGAGAATTCAGCACCACCAGACTAGCTTTGCAACAAATGCTAACGGAACTTCTCTAGGTAGAAAAGAAAAGGCCACAAGTAGAAACAAGAAAATTACAAATGGAAAAGCTCACTGGTAAAGGTAGGAAGTCATCCACATACAAAGGTGATATCAAAGCCAGCAAGCGTAAGAAGAGGAGAGTACAAAGGCAGGATATTGGAAATGCGTTTGAAATGAAAAGAGCAGCATCTTAAAACAATCTTGTTTAAATATAGACTGCTGTATCAAAACCTCATGGTAACTACAAACCAAAAAGCTACAATAGATACACACACAAAAAAGAAAAAAGGAATCCAAGCACAGCACCAAAGTTAGTCATCAAATCACAAGAGAAGATTCTCACAGTAGTGGCCTCCTCGGCCACATTGTGCACTATGTCGGGTGGCTTCCTGAAGGTGCAGTGACTCCTATGTCGAGCTGAGCCAGTACCAGGACCAGCACTGCTGGGGTGACAGTGAAGAACAGGAAAAATTAACTACTGAAGGAAAGCTGTACACCACATGTTGGAAATCTTTCCTCTTATACACAACTGAAGAACAAATCTATGAACTCTTCAGCAAAAGTGGTGACAGAAAATCGTCATGGCTCTGGATAAAATGAAGAAAACAGCATGTGGGTTCTGCTTTGTGGAACACTGTTCAAGAGCAGATACAGAAAATGCCACGTGGTACGTAAATGGAATGCGTCTGGATGACCGGATCATTCGCACAGACTGGGACACAGGCTTTAAGGAGGGCAGGCAGTATGGCCGTGGGCGTTCTGGAGGCCACGTACGAGATGAGTATCGTCAGGACTATGATGCTGGGAGAGGAGGCTATGGAAAACTGGCCCAAAACCTGTGAGTGGTGAGAACCCTGTCATGAAAAACACACTCCTTTGGCCTATTGAATTTGATGTGCGTTACCCAAGGTCTGCACACCTGCCCATTTTTACCTAGTTTTAATCAATGTCTCTACTGAGCTGGAAGCCTCTTCATGGTTTTCCACTTAAAAATTATTAAAGGACAGAATCCAAAAGAATGCCTTTAATTCTATGGTCTTAGCATCTTAGTCATGTGTCAGATTACCAGAATGATTTCTGTTACCAGGTCAAAAATTGTGTTCCTTAGCAACAGACTTCATGAATAATGTTGAGAAGCCAAAACCACACTTCTTTTAGGAAGATTTCAAAAGAAGTTTTTAAGTGTTTACCATGTTTGCATCTAAGTAGGTTCATGGTCTACCTTGGGGCCTGGAATTACTATTTTTAAAATTTTAAGTTTGCATGAGATAGAGTTTAATAAGTGGAGTTTTGCTATGTAATGTAGCTTTACTCTAAATTAGGAATAGATGTTTGATAACTGATTGTTTTTCTATGTTGAATTTTAATC